TAAGTCTTTGATACTGAAAGAGTGTGGTTTTCATTTGGCCATTCATTCCTTGCCTTTTGGATTGACCTGCAAGGGCTAGAACCTGTAGGCTCACTTGTGTGAAGAATGCTGTACAGCTGGGATTTATCTGTATTATTATATATTATAGTGCCTAAAGCTTTAGGCAGGATTTTTTAGTTGAAAAAAAAAATTGTGTTGTCTGTGCTGCCGCAGGAAGGACCTGAGTCTCAGAATTGTTTCTTCTCTTTTTCCCCTTGCTTTATGGGGAAAATGAATTGCTTTCAACCTTCTTCTGGGGATGCCACTTGCTATTTTTCTTTTTTTTCCACCTGTGCCTGGATAAAATCTATGGACACGGAAGCAGCATCACATACTAGCATCATGCGCTTGCTCATGGGAGAGGTGAGAGATTCAGGCACACAGATCCTGGGCACTTGCTCCTTGCAACCCTCATTAGCACAACGCAAGGAAGGTTAATGCCGTTGGGTAAGGACATAAAGAGATCGGAAGCTTTTCTTTTCCTTTGTGTCATGAAAACACAGGGATGCAACTGAACAGCAAATTCTGTGTTTGGATTAGTTCTGTTGCATTTGAAGGTACATCCTGCTTGGTGATCAAATATGGAAGGCATTTCACTTCACTCTCATTGTAGAAATAGGTCATGATATTTTTCCTCTTACAAGTCTTGTTGAAAACATCTCCTGTCACCATCTTTTTTACTGTATTTGATGTACATTCTGTGACTATGCTGCCTATGAAGTTTTGCCATGTGACTCAGATTACTAAGTTCTTTATATGTTAAACTAAATTTTAGAAATTTACAGATCTGTTTTTATACTAAAGAATAAGGTTAGTTACATTGTCCATGACCTGTGAACTATTTAAAATTCCAGCTCCCTGTTGGAGATCAGCTTGTCAACATTGCCTGCCATTCATTTCAGAGTAAAAGTACATTTCCTTGTACAAATGACACAATGACTGTAATCACAGAGGTAGTGAGAAGACAAAGTCAAAAATGTTTCCTTTTTCCCAAGTCACAAAGACTTGAGTGACATGGTAAAAAAGACTTGGTGCAAACTGCATAGGTAAAATGGAGGGCGCTGTTGCTGAACAACTTCCTCTTCAGTGCCTGAGGAGGAGGAGGGTGAGAATATAGATTTAAAACAATGACATACAGAGACTTGCATAAGCTCGAATAACAAAAGTGTTTTCCTACTTCAGCTGATGATTTGCGCTGTATGTCATTGTATGTGCATGAAATACACTGTGCCACACTTTCTTGAGTTGTGTTTTGATGGTTGGGTGGCCTTTATCTGACCTTGCTTTGTGCTTTTCTGGGAAATGACCTGTAATATGTTGTAAATAACTTAGATGCTTATGTTTATAAAGTAGCACTCAGCAATTCATCATTTTACAATTCCTCCATAATAGCTAGCCTATTAAAATGTAATATTTATTAAAATCAAAATCAATGTTCGAACTGCTTACTTAGATCTAAACACTTCTGAAGCTTTGCTATGTTTGAATCTATAAAATGCGAATTAAAGTATTTTCTGCTACAACTTATTTTTGTGACTGTAATTTCTGTGTTTTGATTTGAAATTTTTCTTACTTTTTATTTAGTTTACCTTTCAACTACACTTGGTAGAAATTATGTAACTTAAATTATTTACATTTCAGTCATTTAAGCTTAAGATGATGAGCAGGCTTTCATTCTTACTTTAATTCCATTCAAAAGATGAATGTAATCTGTTTACCTGGTGCTGTTTACAGGGTGTTGTAGTGTGTCAGCACATCAGAAATTCATGTAGCAGAATTACAATATGTTTCTGTATGAATATGGCCAAATGTAGCTACTGTTTTAAGTCCAATTGTTTTAAGAGGCAAAAAGGCTTATTTTGAAATGAAGTTGGGTCCATTCTGTCCCTTTCTTAGAATAGCTTATAAAATCAATTTTGTAAATATTTTTTCTGGTTGGTTTACCCAGTGGGGCTCTTCATGTGAGGTTTTTTCCCCCTAAAGTGTTTCTACAGCTTTCTGTTTCATTCCAGGGATGTATTTTTAACAAATTATCTTACTAAAAATTTGATACACATATTTCATCCTCAGTTTAGGTGGGTAAGTACCTGTTACACAGGTGATGATAATTATAGTGATTTATGAATTTAAGCTCTTACCTGTCATATTGTTTAAATCTTATGTTTGAGAGTATTTAATTCATTACTATGACTGGTTGCAGTCACTTGTAATTTCACTTTTTTGCATGCATACTGTGGCACGGGGATTAAGTTTGTTTTAAGCGCAGAATTCTAATAATTAAATTTTTGCTGTGCTGCTACATCTACTGTGAAGAAAATGTAATTCCTGCCGACTTTTCTTGCACTAAGCCTTCAGGCAATTTTGTACAAACATGATCATGGAACTCCAAAGGGTTTAATAAAATTTCTGTTCTTCTCCCAACCCTGTGGCACCTTTTTTTTTATCTCTGGCTGATTGTTTAATTGGCTTTTATTCTTCATTGAACATTTGGGCAGCAGTGAAGAAACTAATGGAAGCTCTGGAGGGCAAACAACTGGCAGGGTGCTTCTGCCCGAGGCAAAGCTCGTGCTTTGATTTTACCACGTAGGCCCGAAAAATCAAAGATGCTGTGGAAGACTTGGCATAAGAGTATGGCACTACTTTGCGTTCAGCTTCCAAGCAGACCTGATCAGATCTGCTCTCCATCGTTTCTTTTCTTCCTATATATCTTCTGTGAAATGTGCACGAGAATTCTCTACTTTTTGAACCTCCTGAAGTTGAATGTGAGGGGAACATCATAACTCCAAAATTAACTACTTTTATAGAAGTAGAGATTACTATAAGAAATATGTTTTTCTCCTAGGGAAATGTGGATTGAATTACAGCATTTATTTCTTGTGGGGAAGGAGAAAGAGAAGCTGGGGGTGCAGAGTTCTTCACAGTAGAGATACCAGTATTGGGTACAATAAAAAGAGCTAAAGTAGAGTTAGGGTTCCTGCTCACTATAGGTTAGTATTAATTATTTTTAGGCTTACTATGGGCAAATGTCACATGGTAGAATGGTGTTTATCCACCCTTTCTAGCACAAACAACCAGATTTGTCCCTGAACATACCAGGCTGAAGTACAGCTTTGCTGACCTCCTGCTAGTTATGCAGAATTTATCCTCTAGATCGACTTGAGGTTTTTCTGCTTTACGTATTCCTGGCTCTTGTTCTCCTCCCAGACTGCACATCCCAAGTTTTTATTAAATAAATAAATAGATAATTACTGTTACATGTATTCATCTCCCTCGCTAGGTACTT